CAATAAACAAAAAACAAGACTTTCCCCACAGAGATCTCCATTCTCTTTAGAGAGAAATCCAGGTGCTTCCTCTCCCCTTTTCCTTACTCATCTAAACACAGGATTTCTATTGCCCCAGCCAGTCGATTCCAGCTCCAAGCTATTGTTAGCCCTTGAACTAAGGAAAGTATCTGTTCAATAACCACTTATTGGAATGGAGGTGGGGTGTTATCTGTCGAAGATATTTTGATTAACTGGACTGGGGAGAAATGTTCACATATCGAAATGTTCACTTCGTAAGTTAAACAATGTAATTGAATGTATATAAAAATAAATAAATAAATATAAAAACACTACAAAAAAAAAAAGAGAAAATATTGGAATCCTTTGAAAGTAACATGCTCTGGAATGGCCTCAACCACACCCTAATAGTTCATCAGCATACCCTCACAACCAATAAAAATGATAATTTATTCACATTATACTAGGTTAATTAATATCCTGCCTTGTTTCCAAAGGGTACATGGAATTTTTTAAAATATTGTTGATATGAATGTATTTTGATAATGTTTAGGGACATTTCTATTGCTCTTCAAAAAATAGATACTGTCTAAAATTTAAAAAAACTTTCATGACTTTCTACATTGTCTTATTCAGCAATGTCTTATGCTCTGATATCTTTTCTGAAAATAAAAATTATTTTTTAAACGTACTATTTATTTCTTCCATTAGAGCAAGAAACACACACAGAAGGAGAGAGAGAGAGAGACAGCCCACAGGGACTTCGTGACATGATCTACCCCCCCAAGGCTCAGCCATCCCAAATAATGGGCACATGTACATGCTTCTAGCTTGAAGGGGCCTTGCAACACAAACCTGGAACCTTCTCAAGTGGGTCCAACAAAACAGTTTGTGTTACTGCTGTACCACTATCTGGCCCAAAAATTACTTTAGTAATATGGCACAGTTAATTTTTTAACTAAAATTTCCAGGTTTTCTAAACTTTTCTTTTTTTTTTTTTTACAGAGAGAGAGATTTGTGCTACAGGGCACATGTACTCACCTAAGAGACAGACAGAGAGACAGAATGAGAGAAATCACCCCCCCCAGAGGGGTTGGCCATGCTTGCAACCCCTTTTCTCCAGGATTTGGGGCACGCAAGCGCAAGCACCTGGTGTGAGTTTTATGCCACCAGGTCTGGAACTTGAACTGCAGTCGACTACATGGGAGTCCAGCAACATAAACATTATGCCATCTGCTGGTCCTGAGGTTTTCTAAATCTTTTCTAATCTTAAAAAGGTTAATTAAATATTTGTTTGTGGGGTTTAAATCAACTACAAAATAGATATATAAGTAGACATATTTTACAAAGTCAATGGAAATTTTTTAGAATTTTAGAAACCTCATGTTCAAAACTGTGAGGTGCCTCCAAATTAAATGAGATAGTCAAGACTATAAGTGAATTTATTGGATTTTTTTTTCACTTTCCTACAAATTTTTTTCTCCTTCTGATTACCAGTTATATACAGGATTTTAATTTCATAGCTTGACAATGAGGGATCATACACTGAAGTCAATAAATATATCTAGCATTTCAGTCTAAGCTCATCCATGTACATAGCTGAAATCAATTACAAGGAATGGCCTAACAGATGCTAGCGGAACTTTGTAGTTTTTACAGCTATTAAAACTATCTTGCACACTGAAGTCATCATACATACAGGGCAAAGTCAGCTTTTATATTTGCATTTATTCTTCATTTAACTTTTTAAAACACTACTATAGCTGAATATTAAAACAAAAACAATAGCAAGTAGTGAGCATATTATGATTACAGTCCTTCACTCATTCACTACTGCATATAAAATGCTAGCAGTGTTATTCACTGGCCCCATTAAGAAGTCTGACACTGAACACCACCTCGAGGATGATGTTCATCATCCTCATATGCTTCTCCATTGTAATGGCGCCGCCTTTCCTGATTTGGATCAAAGTCCACCAGTTCTACCTGGTCCATTTCATCGGTCTCTTCTACTTCCTTCCTTTCAGGTAGAAGTTTTTCCAGCAAAGAGAGTTTATCAGGAGACAGAAAGCCATTCTCAGGGAAGTTCACCTTAAATTCAATGATTAGGCGACCCTTTTCATATGGTCTACG